CCCTCCTAAAGTTTGATAATTTGCTGCAATGGCTCAAAGAACTCAGGGAGCCTGGGCATGGTGACTCATGCCTGTAATAACAGCACTTTGGGAGGCAGGAGAATGGCTCGAGGCCAGGCATTTGAGACCAGTCTGCACAACATAGATCTTGTCTCTACAAAAAAAAAAAAAAAAAAATGGTTTTTAAATAAAACTAAAGAACCAGGGAACCATTTTACTTATGTTTACTATAAAATATTATAAAAGTGCAAGTAAAATGTCCAGGTGAAGTGGTACATATTAGGCCAGAAAGGGTCTAAGCAATGAAGCTTCTGCTCCAAGAATTTGGCAGGATGCCACCCTCCCAGCACATGGATGCACTCAACAACCAGGAAGATCTCCAAACCCCATTGTCTAAAGTTTCGATGGAGGCGTCATCTCGTAGGAGTGACTGACTAAACCACTGGTCACTAGTGATGAATTCCCTTCCTAGTCCCTCTCCAGGCTAGGAGGTCAGAAGATGAGGCTAAAAGTTCCATATCCCTATGGCAACCAGTCTCCAAGAAGCTATTTAGGGACATCAAGAGTAGCTTCACTAGTATAAACTCAGGTATGCTTTGCTAAAAAGTGCCTATTTGAATAACAAAGACACTCTTTTCACCCCATCACTTAGGGAATTGCAAGAATTTTAGAAGCTTGGTGCCAGAAACAAGGAAGAAGACTAAATCCGTATTTCATATTAGAATACAATAACACACCAATATTTGAAATTATGGGGAAAAAATGCATATGGTATTCAAAGCATTTGCTACAACCAAATAAGAACAGATGTCTGCAACATATAGGATATTCTAGATTATTGGTAATATACAAACAGATATATACTACTGACAACTGCAGGATCAATACAAAGCAACATTAATCTCTGCAAAAATTGATATCAAACAAGCAAACACAAGTTTGAGAAATAACAGCACTTTACTGGAAAAAAAGTTATCATTGCTTACTGAATGCAATACCTTAACAAAAATACTATCACAGAAGTTTTAACTACCTGAAGTTTCCTTAAAATAACGTTGCTCTGTTTACTGGTTGTTTGACTGTAATTTAACTAACCTACATGTCAGATTTATAAATGCACTGTGACAATCCAAAACAACCAATAGCTATGTCCTCCAAATGTGACTGAAAATCTTAACCTAACAGTAAGGAAAACAGAAATAAAACAACTAGGAGTATATTAAAAACTATTTTCAGAGCCAGGCATGGTGGCTCACGCCTGTAATCCCAGCACTATGGGAGGTAGAGACAAGAGAATTGCCTGAACCCAAAGGTTCAAGACCAGCCT